TCCAGAGACGAGCTTTGATTTATGTTTCAATTTCTGCAGTAAATTTACAATACCTTTAGAGATATTATTTCCCTAAAAGATTACTCTTATTAAGAAGCAGAAAGAAATGCCAAACATTTATACATCAGAACTGATTAAACAAACCACTGCCTAATGAGATGCTGAATCCCAAGAATGGGAAATTGTAGAAATAACAGACATCAACTTATTTTTGATTCAGTAGCATTTCTGAAAGGTACACGGAAAACGCAGAGCTCTCTTTAAACTTCTTTAAAGAGGTAAGAAATATTGATATAAAGATATATTAGATTGAGAGTTCTTCATTATTTTCTTCTCTTCGTTCTTCTGCTCAGTTACACCCGCTTCTCCCTCTCCCTCCCATTTGTACTAGAAACTTGATTAATTTCTTTTTGCTACTGCAGCTAAAGCCAAACTTAAAAAAGGTGCTGAAATTAAACAATTATATGAATGCATGGAAAGAACCTAGAGGTAGCTGAGGCTCAGCTACAAGTAGCATCGATTTTCCACTGCTTTAAAATGCAAATAGAACAAAAGACCCAATGAAGCGAAACACGGAACAGAAGACAATATGAGAACACCCTGATTAGAGAGAAAACAGTGAGAAGTCTAAAGGAGAGGTGTGGTATTGCTACAGTCTAGTTTCCCGTTTCACTTTTACAACAGAACCGACCCCAACGATCATTAAACAGACCCCTGAAGAGCCGAGTCTTGTCTCAAACAACACACTGTGTACTGCGTTCTTCAGACTGTTACAGTTCTTTTTCTAGGTGAGCTCCATAGTGGCTAATTACACAGACTGGTCCGCTTGAATCTGCATCTTCTGCTCAGAAGACTTGTCACATAGAAGGAAAAGCGCAATCACTCTTCCACGCGCTGCTGTCTTGTTCTATATTTCTGCACGCACCTGCTGCAAATCTGGTTTTTCTAGGACAGTTTAATCGCTTTCCTGTTTGAACATCAGGTCTCAAAGTGCTCCTAGTGTTATTATTTTTGTTTCCTCATAGGGTAGTGGCAAACGATTCACTGCTACAGCAATCTTTCCATACGAAAAATTCTCTAAATTTTCTATTTCTAATTCCACAGAAATAGGGCTACATTTAGTACAATATTTATTTCAAAAGAGATTTAAAATACAGCCAGGAGTACCTCCTGCAAAAAAAAACCCCACACCTGCATTTTTATCAGTAGATCCAAAACCAGACCTATTAAATTCAGTATGAATATGCACCTACATTTGCAAAAAAAGAATACCTTCTACATAAACAAGCAGGGCACTGAAATTCAATTTAAAAGGGACTTTAGGCCTAGAAACCTAAAGCCCTTTGTCATAAGGACTGAAAGATGGCATTTACTTTCCATGACCTGATGCAAGTAAGGAAACAAACTCAGCTTCATTCTTTTTTTAAGCCACAATGATGCCAAGTGTTTGCCTGTCAGTTACAGTAGGTTTCCCACACTTTTGCCAGATTTACATTACCTGTTACAAGGAAATATTTTTCATACTATCCACTAAAAGTCACTATCATACTACAAAAATACTATAAAATGACTAAAAATTACTAAAATGACTTTTAGTCATTTTCATACTATCCACTAAATGTTGCATGTCTCCAATTAACTGGGTAATACTTATTCATGTATTTATGACTTTCAAAAACTAATGTTTATTCTGGAGTGACCTTTCTGTGGTTTATGGATAAACTAATTCATATGTTGCAATAAATATATAATTGATCAGGAAATAGTTCTGTGAATCCCAAATCCAAGCATCCTTGCATCACAAGTTTTATATCATGCTTCTGCTCATCTGATAGATTATGAATTGCTTTTAAGACCTGAAACTAGAGATATTTGCCCTTAATTCGACTTTTTCATAATAATTTGTTTTCATAGCTGGTGCTGTGTTTTTGTTAAGTACTTGTGTTTACACTTGCATATGGTTGCTTATTTCCTTATCAACAAGTCCGGAGCAATCATACTGTATTTATGATGGTTTTAAGGAAATAACACTTCACAACTGGGGACATCAGAACAAAATAATTCATCTTAGATTCTCTCGGGCACAGTATAACTTTCAAGCCTGAATTAAAACCACACAGAAACATGGATCTGAAATTACTAACCGCTTTTATTACACAGAAAATTAGTATGTGGCTTTGAACATAGAGATTTATCTACCACACAATTCTAAATTTGACCCTTAAATCTATGCCCACGTCTAACATGCAAGTCCTACTAACACGTGTAATCATATTTGTTCCCTAAGACTTTGAACGAAAAGAAGCATTTGTCTAATGTCTAACGTGCAAGTCCTACTAACACGTGTAATCAGCTCATATTTGTTCCTTAAGACTTTGAACGAAAAGAAGCATTTGTCTAAATAATTCAAGGAATTTGATGGGTCTTCAGCATCCAGCAACACAGGTACCCAGCGAAATGTAGCACAGTAGCTCGCTTTTCAACCACCTCAAACGCAAGCAGAATGTACAGCCCCACAGGAAAACAAACAGTAGAGTACTTTTCGTCTCAAAATATCTGGGAATACCTGTTACCGGAATGCCAGTACTCCAACTGACATCACAAAACACAGGATTTTCACTACCTTTTTGCCAAACCCGTATATCTATAGGCTGATCTGGCATTGATTCAGGTCTTTTAATAAACTGTGTACAAAGTAAATGCACTTCCACGCAAACAGTTCTCAGGCTCCACAACATTTGGACACCCATGCTTCAGAGAGACACATTTCAACTAATATTTTATCCAGTTTTGCGTTTAAACCAGTTCATCCAGTTTTGAATCTAAACCCAAAGTCTTAAAAGAAACAATGACTTCCATTTTCTTCCATCCTAGAAGAGACTCCATTCAAGCCATATATGAGGACATGTTTTGTACCATCCCATCACTCACAACCTAGAGCAATCTAGGGAGATTTCAACAAAGGTCGCAACCAAAAATTAAGGAAGTAAAAAGAGAAATATGTAAGTTACTAAAAGACTAGGGTGTTAATTTGGTAAGGTTCTTCAGCTGATACACATTACCTATATTCTGCCCCTCTACTCAGCTGTCGTGAGACCCCACCTGGAATACTGTGTTCAGCTCTGGAGTCCCCAACACAAGAAGGACATGGAGCTACTGGAACGAGTCCAGAGGAGGGCCACGAAGATGATCCGAGGGCTGGAGCACCTCTGCTATGAAGACAGGCTGAGAGAGTTGGGGTTGTTCAGCCTGGAGAAGAGAAGGCTCCAGGCTGATCTTATAGCAGCTTTCCAGCACCTAAAGGGGGCCTACAGGAAAGCTGGAGAGGGACTTTTTACAAGGGTGTGTAGTGATAGGACAAGGGGCAATGGATTTAAACTGAAAGAGGGCAGATTTAGGTTAGATATAAGAAAGAAATTCTTTACATTGAGGGTGGTGAGGTACTGGAACAGGTTGCCCAGAGAAATTGTGAATGCCCCATCCCTGGAGGTGTTCAAGGCCAGGTTGGATGAGGCTTTGGGCAACCTGGTGTAGTGGAGGATTTCCCTGCCCATGGCAGGGGGGTTGGAACTAGATGATCTTTGAGGTCCCCTCCAACCCTAACCATTCTATGATTCTATATCCTAAGGTCTTCCACAAAAAATCTCAGATGTTACACAAGTTGGACTTAAAAGTGATGGAGCACCTTATAATTTGAATTGTATCAATGAAGGTCACAGTGAGAACTAACTAAATAATTTCCAAATCCAAAAAGGATAATTAAAACTCCTAGCACCAAAGCTTATTTCTCTTAAAGAAAGCCTGCAATGTTGCGGTAAATTAAAGTTTAAAAAAAGCTATGCAAAGGAAACTTCTAGATCTGGTTTTGCTGTTCCATTGTTCTTAACTAAGGCTTAAGGAAATTTATGACTTCCTCCTCCTGCTTGTACCACTAAGAAACCTTCCAGAATACAAGTCTCCTAAATCCTCTGCCTACAAATATATGTACATTTAGGTGATTTGGCTGAAAATGCAGTCCTTTTATTCAGGGGCAGGAAAGACTGCCCCCAAACTAACTTTTTCTAAAAAATGCCCTTCTAAAGCAACTATGACAAGTACATTCATGCTTCTCTGCTATTTATACTTTATAGGAAGAAGGCCTGAAAATTGGCAGCAGGCATTTCTGCATGTTTTGTGCCTCAGAAATACAAGTACGCCAAGAATTTTCACCTGTGGTTTCAATGTAGAAATCCTCAGATTTCTATGAACAGGAGGGTAAAAAAATTGCCTCATACCTCTGCTAGAGGACACACTGTCACACAGCTGTTATGGTAAATAACAAGCATTTGTAAGGGTTTGAACTAAACAATGACAAGGTATTTTTTTAAAAGGCATTTAAATAAAATATTTTGCAATTTTCAGGGTTTTAGAATATTCTGAGAACCTGGAGATAATATTTTAGCATAAAAGACGTGGAAAATCTTATTTTAAAAGGAAAAAAACCCCAACAAAATAAAAAAATACAGGCCTATTTCAGGTCATTTTTATATACCATAAAGCAGTAATAAAGATCAAAACAGATCTTCTCTTCCAATGCAGATCATCATTTGACTGTTAGAGAAGGTGCTGCTGAAACAGAAAGGCTGGTATTTCATATAAGCAGTATTTCAAAATTTGCACTTTACAGCTATTCCACTGGAAAATGGTGGAGGTAGCAATATAATTCTCAACAGGCAAGTACTCCCACACATTGTCTCCATGTGAAAATCTTGAGGCTATCAACCACCAGCTGCCCAGAGACACTAGCTAAAAACTAAAGCCTTGTGTCACAGCCAAGTGAACTTTTCTTTAGGTCAACACAAAGATTTACTGGCACTCAGAACAGTACACACCAACTTCAAGGTAAAAAGAGTTTGACGCAAATATCTGAGATAGCCCTATCAGCTCCATATTTCAGCTCCTCCCACCTGAATTGGCTTCTCTCGTCTAAGTCAACGAATGCACAATGCAACAGCCTTGACTTACTGTGAGATGTGAGTTATTGGGGTCAACAGTGTCTCACCCTCCAGGTCAAGCTCATCGGCAAAGCTGTTGGTCCTGATGAAGGGTCCTGTGTTCACATCTAAAAACGTCGGGCTTTTTTTCACTGTGAGGAAACATGCAGATAACAGTTAAAGCAACAGAATTCGGCTTTTTCAAGAAAGGTCTACCCTCGTTTGGATTTCTGAAATACTGTGCATTTTAACACAATATTGAAAACAGAAGTTACTACCAAAAACATTGCATATACTGCAGAGTTCATGAAAAGTAAAACTTTAACTCTTCTTCTACCTGAAGAATTTCAACTTCTGTTGAAGACTTAAAGCTTTTTTTTTTTTTTTTGTTCACAATCCTCTTACACTATACAGTATCTATATGGCAGGCAGCTTCATGCATTATAAAACTCATTGTACCACACTCAGCCATACCATGGACCACCGCTCTACAGCAACAGTGCATGGAGTGCAATTCAATGACAAGATGAACTCCTTTTTTATATCATCTCTACTTCGTGTTTCAGTTTATAATACCAGTGTCTGGGGTGTAATTATTGTGACTAAGATCAAGAAACCAGGCCTAGATCAACAAAGGAGCCTAGGCACTTTCTCAGTGAGCAGTCAGCTCCTGTCACGCACTGTCTGAGCTGGTCTACTGGTTCCCAATCCCTCTCACAATTAGGCACAAGGATGTCTCATCTTTGAGCCCAGACACAAGACAGGTGGTAAGATGTTCATTTCATCCAAGATGAGGTCCTTAGTGGGAAGGTCATTTCACACAACTTCAGATATTGAAAGTTTTTAGTGGCAAAGTTACTTGTTAACCAACCCTTTCATGCATCCAAGAAATTAGGCAGAGCATTATAGATTTCATTTTTCAAGTCAGGCTCCTAAATTCTGCCAGAGTCTAACATTAAGAACCTTGAGTGTTTTTTCCAGCATGGTCCTAACATTTGTTAGAGAAGACACAAAATTTGCAGATAAAGAAAAAACACTATTGTATTTATATATGACTGTAAATGAATTTTGTAGAGAACAAAACTAAGTAAAATTCTGTCAAAATCTTAGGTAGACCTCCACAGAAATCTTCACCTGTGCAACTGGCTGGATCGCTCAATGAAATAATTATAATGTTGTAATTTATGAAGTCGCTACTATATTAAATAAAATACTTTATAATATAACAGTAAATAATGTCCTGCCAAAATACAACATGAAAGCAAAAGGAATACAGCAGAACTAGCTAACTTCGATGTAGATTAATTTAATGAGAATAGAAATAGGGATATCAGGAAACAAGTTTTTTTAAATGCAATCATTTTACTCAAGTAAGCAGATATCTTCATATAGCAGAAATGGATCTGAACTTTTACAAATAACCAGAAGAGAAAATATTGTTATATTATCAGGCACATAGCCATTCAAAATCACAATGGGAAAGTCTGCTCTCCAGAAATTGTAATTGGAGAGGAAGACTTCTGAAATCACAGTAAAAAACCAGAAACAACTGCTAGGAGATAAAATTATATTTTAAAGACAAATTAAAAGCATGAGTCACTTGCAGCACTTAAAAATGAAAATTCTATAGTAAGTTTTAGCAAATACTATCTTTCTATTTTTGGTTTTAGTATCACGTTAATTAATCATGTTGCTGTAGCCATCATCCAATATAGTGGCTGTGAAACAAACAAAATAATTCAGATATGCAGCAAAATGTCTTTAGAACAGACTCCTTCTGGCTTTCACTAAATTAATTTTCACTGTCTGCATTTCTAAAAGATACAAATGAAACATTCCTGGTTGCTAGGAAAGGAGGTCTCACAGCCTTTTTAGTTTTCCTGATGACGAGCGAAAAAACTGCTGAACTGAAAGCCATGTGAAGTGTTTGCTGAACACTCACTGAACTGTGCTTATGAGAGATACAATGCAACACAGCACACCAGTGGATTTGCAGAAACACCTATTCTTGGATCATTCACAGTTATTGCTTTTCAGTTTCATGGGAGAGGAGAGGAGGAGCGGCACAATGAAAAAGGAACAAGAAGTCAAGATTGTACCTTAGCCTTTCTGAAAGTGCTGTTATCTAAGAATACAGAGATGAAGAGCTGCTTAATACGAGGCAAACATGGTATCTCCCTCCCTCTCTTTATTTTAAAATTTTCTAAGACGACCGTAATGAAGATCAGTCTGTTCTGGTGAACGGTGCAGCCCTCTGCTCTTTATTCTGTCATTCTTAAATGTATGTTTCTGCTTCCAACATAAAGAAGGAGCCACTCCAAAACACTACCACGCAACCTGCTAGCACAGAGACAGGAGGAGCCAAGGAAAGAACACGGTATTAATGAGAGCTTCCCTGTCACAAAGTGCCTTGAAACAAGGCTCAAGCAGAGCACCAGGCAGCGTATGCTGCCACAGCATATTTTTTTTTATTTATAAAAAGAAATTCATAGCCATTTGACTTTGGAGGAGTTTTTCTCACAAAGCAGTGTTAAAAAAAAAAAAAGTGTGTTAAAAAAAGACACTACATTTCTAAATAAGTAGGCTAAAAGAAAAAAAAAAAAGGAAGCTTTAGAAACTCATTTTCAATGGATAATAATGAGTGAAAAGAAACAGGAAACAGATGTAGCAGGGGATATTTACTATAATTCAGAGGTCCCAAAGTTTTATTTTCTCTATTTTTGATGGGTAGCAGCAGCAACTATGGTAACAGGCATGGCTATCCAACTGATAATGCTGAGCCGAGAACTACTTTGAAATGGCAGAAAACACACTCCTCACAATATAAGAACTTCTGCATTAAAACAAAAAATCTGAGCTTTCTGGAAATATTCAAGGTTGGGCTGGATAGGGCTTTGAGCAACCTGATCTAGCCCCTGCTCATTCCAGGGGGGTTGGACTAGATCATCTTTAAAAGTCTCTTCCAACCCAACCATTCTACGATTCTAGGAACTTTCAGTCAAGGATTATAATCACACTAACAGGAATTACTGATGAGATTTCTGTATTACCAATACGACGATTTTATATACAACATGACAGGCATGCTAATGCTTTTCTGGTAGTGGCGTATTTGGCTAGCAAGACAAAAAATATTTTACATTTCCTCTTTTGCAAGCACAGACAATTCTGCAAGCACAAAAAAAAATTTAAAACACTACAGCATTTTTCATGGAAAATATGAGTTTTAATTAATGCATTTAGAAAATATCTCTTTTCTGCAGAAAATTTCTTTTTTTTTTTTTTAATTTAAACATTTGAGATTTACAAACTCAAAATTCCACCCACATGCCTATGCTTCCTTTAAAAAACAGCACTATAATTTTCTGTGCCACAGCAGGTAATTCTAGACAGAGCATTGCAAAGATTTAGTAATTAACAAAGGTGATGGAGCAATGAAATATTACGAGCTTTACCTGGAGAGGAAGGAGCGCTGGAAGACTGCTGGTCTGCGGAAAAGGATGGCCAGGAGCGCTGACAATCTGAGTCAGAGTAAAGATGCACATAAAACAGAGAGATAGGAGACGGGGGGAAACAAACAAACAAACCAACCAAAAACACAAAAAAGGAAAAAAGCTCCAGACAGGCAGCTGAGGAGATGCAGACATACCTAAAATACAATCTGTTGTACCTGACATCTTTCAAAACAAAATAAAAAATACTGTGGAAAAGAGTTTGTGTGAAACTCTTCTAGTGCGTATTGCATGTTAGCAGAATATTAAACTACTATTAGAAGAGGCATGGTGTCTCTTCAAACGCATTCCTCATGACAGTGTCACCTGCTGCAAGATATTCCTCCCCACATGCCAGTCCTATTTTGAGGAAAGCAATCTATACGTTTGCCCTTTCCTTCCTGACTTTAGGGTTTCCTCAAGTGTTTCCCTTTCCAGAGTGTACCACCTTCCATGGATCAGTCTTCTTGCTCTGGGTTCCCACCACCCACGGTGTAGCTAGCTCCTGGTCAGACTTCAGTGCTGTCAGGGGGACAGAGCAGTACTGCCACCCATGTTTGAAGCTGCCTGACACATCCTATAAAAAGCACTGGAAGCTGCCCACTTCAACCATTTAAGCCAAGTGACTGCCTCAAGCTGAATTTCTTGGGGGGAAGTTTCAGGCAAGCAAGAGGAGTCGATGATGACAAGGAGAGTCAGCAAAACACAACGTTTCTGCTATGTTTAGTTGTTTTGAATAGCGTTACCCTTTTAATAATTATTTCATTAAGAAACGCCTGTGGACGCACACACTGGGACAGAGTGGTGTTTTTCAGAAATGTTGCCTTACTTTTACATGAAGAGAAAAACTCTCAAAATATAAATGTATTGAAGTTTTTAAAAAATCTGAAAACCCCTTCATTTTGCAAGCATTCTGTCAGCGCCAGGCGTGCTCTTGGGTCTTTGCTGAACTGCTGATGCCAGGAGAAAGGAGGAGGGGAGAAAGGTAGATGGAAATCTCTGGTTGCACAAGGATACTGGCAGAGAAGCCAGATGGGAGATCCAGGAGTGTGAAGACTTGAATACAAGTAGGCAGCCCAAAGAGAGAACCAGAATTTACCGAACATGAGAAAGCAGCATAGGGATATGTGACTAGAGGATTTCTGAGGATCAAACTAAAGCTGAACGAGCATGCTTGCACTTCCTAATTTCTTGTTCTTGAGCTTTTGAGTTGGCAGTTTCAGCTTTCTATGTAGGTAATCTTATTCACAGCAAGTACAAATACACTTTCTCCTCTTTATTTCTTTGAGTCACTGTGAGAACAGTGTTAGGTAACCTCTCAGGTTCACTGAGCTCACGCTCCCTGGCTAGGAAATAGAAACTGAACCTATGGTAGCTAGTAAAGGTCCTCTGATATTTCCCCAAGATAAAGGAATTTCTTGTTCATGTAAAACAGGTGACTTCATGGCTCTTGCGGCTCTCCTGAGCTTGCTCTACCATGCTCAGCCCCAACAGAGGTGCACCGCTTGGAATACAGGAGAAAAGCCGAAACTGGAAAACGGGCAAATCAATAATTGGTCAGGGGGATTCAAGGAGATTCAGTGTTTTATGCTATTTCTTCACCTTAAAAAAAAAAAGCCCCTATGTTCCATGTGGGTTCAGAGATGAAACTGAACCTTGTATTTTCAGACAATTTAATCCAAGCCTGAGCATCCTTGCACTAGATTACTGAAAAGAAGCCTCTACTGTCTTTAGTGGATGCAGAGCAGACACCTTGCAGGTGGCTCACAGCACTCTCACTAAATCACAGAGGTTTTTTTCCCAGATCTTGCTCTAATCCTAGAATCTTTGGGGAACACTCAAGAAAGCACATTAGAAACATCACAGGACTACATGGCTGCTTAAGTGATCCCAGAATCCAGACAAATAGTAAAATAAATTATTTAATTTATGGGTCCTCATCTATTCACAAATATCTACAGAGCATTTTTACAGAACAGATGCATGTACTTCAGAATGCACAATATTGGAGGTCAAATCTGGAATTTTTTCTTCCCTCTCAATCTATTAGTTTAGAAATTAATCCTCAGCTATATGCTCAGATAACTTAACTACTGGATGAATTATCCTTCATTTATATCTAGATTATCTTTTTCTATTCATTATATATACATGAGCAATTTTTCTTAATTATAGAAAAACCCCAGAGATCATTTACTTATATAAATGAGTGCTCACTTTTCTCTTCGCAAGGCAACTATGGGTGCAATTGTGATTACAAGTGTGAGAATGCACATTTTTGTCTGTCTAGGTCTCCTTGGCTGCAAAAGATTTCTTAGAAAGTATATGGCAGTAGACACACATGAAAAGCACTGCAAACATTATGTTGTCATAAGCTGGCATGCCATAGATAGAATTATTTTCCTCGACTTACCAAGCAATTTTAACATTCCTGTTTGTCCTGTATACTTGTAAAAGGTTAGAGAGAGCAGAACACAGATAAAAAAGAAAAAAGATAAGTGTCAGAAGAAAATAGAGAAAATCCTTTTATTGAAAGCTATAGAGCTGATTTTTGAAGTGGCAGTAGTAGGCTGCCTGCAAATCATATTGCCCTTTAATCAACTCAGAAACTTAGTGATAAAAGGTGGGACTTCACAAATCCAAGCATTTGCATAGTTCATTCATTGGATTGTTTTGAAGAAAGGTATCTGTATTTAAAGCCTAATATTAGATTGTTTTGAAGAAAGGTATCTGTACTCAAAGCCTGAGTCACAGACTAAACTTAGTACTTGTCCACCTTTTAACAGCTATGTCATTTCCACCACCAATGCAATTCGCAACCATTCCTTAACAGAGGCCAAGAAAGAGTGGAAAAGCATGGATGTTACAGGACAAGACAAGGCAGAAGCATACCAAAAAAGTACATGGAAGGTGAGATTTTCTGCTTGAATAAAAATACGCCTGGTGTCAGCCCCCATTGCTATCCTATTTTAAAGGTCATTAGATTTAATCGGGTCAGTCAAATTTTTGAGGAAAAAAACTTAAGTACTTAAGGTATCTATAATCAATAAAACACACTTTAAAAATTAAACCTCATTCTTGCTGTCAAAATTTGAGCAATACACATTAAAAACTTCCAATAAAAGTACGTTTGTAAAAAAGCCACATTGTAAGTTCAGAATTATTTCCGAAGTTCATTACCGCTAAAGCAACTGTAACTAAGCTATAATTATAGGGTGACTATCAAAGTCCTTCTTTTTCCTCATGCTGTACCATTTTGTACAGTGACAGGAAATACAGGCAGATTCACATTTATCTTAAGTACTTCAGCTTTCAAAATTTGATTCACAGCCTACTCCACTGAGCACATAACACGGCAGGAGCACACAAGGGTTTCATGTGGCAGACTATGTCCAGTGAAGCCAAGACGAGTCAATCCTTTTTGGTTGAGGTACAAGCACAATAGTAACACATCTTGGGTAAATTTCACGTGGAAAAGCTGACAGCTAATTCCTGTAGTTTCAATCAATTGCAGAATTGGGAAGTGTATGCACCAGTCTCAGAGACAGTAGCTCTCCTGGTGGGCAGAAATTACAAATAATCTTTGCCTGCAGTGGAGCAAGCTCATTAAAGGAATGGTTGAATCTCATTCACACAAGCCAGAAACCAAATTAAAAAAGCGAAGTATTCCTGTCTTAGAATGACAAAAGCTTGTTCTGTCCTCATCCTCTCTTGTACAGATATTGAAGGAGACCTGTGTGTAAATCACTAATAGAAGCCATTACAGTTACTGGCATTTATAATGGAATTTCTTACCAGAATTCTCATATGGTTCAAAACTGAAATCAGATTTCCTGTCCTCCGTCACGTGGTCATAAGTGATGTGTGGAACAGTTAACATCTTATCTGGAGAAGAAGGCCCATTGTCCTTGTCTAACTTAAATTTCTTCTTTTTAACCTAAAAATACACATATGTTAAATTACTCAAACCAAGTCACATTTAGTTGTCTCTTCGGTAAAGTCTTCAATAATAATAATGCAGTACCTAATGAGCTATAACCAGTCAAAAGAGTGCCTGACCAGTTATGTTTTCAGGATGCTACACTGTGCATTTCTCAGTAAGACAGCCCCCCATCCTGCCAAAACTGGCTAATCACTAGAATTGTTCACATTGTCATTAGCAAACCCCTTGCCTGTAGTAAAAAAATCTGCCAGCTCTGCAACAGTTTATATAAATCACACTATTCTAGAATACCCTTACCATTTTACAGATGCAATAAATCATACCTTTGGCAAAAAGCAAATTGATATATTGCTAATGAACTCAGATGAACCTGGAACACTAGGGAAGATTTTTGCACAACTTCTTCTTCCAGCTTGAGACTACTGTACAATACTCTTACAATAGAGAGGATGAAGTATTACGTAATCTAAAGACTTTGACAAAAGGGTTTTGTTGGGTTTTTTAAAATAAAAAAAAAATCTTTACTTATGGAAATAGTTGATATGAAAATACTACTGAATATAGGCACAAAACGTCTTCAACATAGAAGCTGAGAAAGCCACAAAATCAATAGCTCACAGAAACAGCAGTTTTAAAAGTTACTATGTTGGAAACAGTAATTTTCTTTTTTTTCCTTTGCTTAGAGTTTTCCAAAGGACAACAGTAAGTTACTGATTGATATGTCTGAATTAGGTCATTATCGCTCTTTTCCAAACCCATACATCCACTGAAAAGTCAAGCTTGGGAACTGAAGCAAATTAATTTGCATACTGAAAATCCCAAAACTGAATTGAAAATGAAACTCTGAAACCCAGTAACGATCTGTAAAACAAACACAACAACTAGTCTCTACAGAGCAAAACAAATGCAATCTAATTTAATAATTTTAAATTACTATAATAGGCAATAGTAGTTACTGGTACCATCACTGATTTCTTCGGTTTTGGACTGGGTGACAGTAAATGATAATTTCTGGCAGGTTTTCGAATGTATATTTTCCACGTAGAAGAGTCTGGGTTTTCTGCTGCATAGCACCTCCATGCAGTCTAGAACACACATTTTAAGCAACAGAACAATTAATGCAATCAGGTTTGTAGCTATCTGTACTACAAAGTAACTTCCAAGTAGCATCTTAGTCATTCCTTATTTAATAGTATTCTTGAATTTCGCCCCTGGAAACAAACTCAGCATGGTTTAGAATCCTGATTTAGTAAACAGAAACCACCAAGTTTGAACTGGGCAAATCAGAAAGGAAGATCAGTCTTTTCAAGTGCAACTTTTGTTTGCATTAGAAACAGATAAAAATAAGAGATAATTCTAGACTGGACTCAAAAGATTAGAGTTGAATCTAATTCAACTAACTAATTCAACTGAATCTAATCTAACTCTGCCCCAATTTCTCTCTCTGAGCATTTTGCCTACTGTATCCTGTGTTTCACGCTCCTCCTTAGAAAACAAAATTTTTTCTTCCCTACCTCACAAGAGTACTATCAGAAAAAAAGCAATTGTGATGTGGTCAGTAGGGCTAGATTGAAACAAAGAAATAAGACCAAGAGCATGAGGGAACAGCACCAATGGTTAACCAGGAGCCAAAACCCCAAAATCAATCCTCCCTCCTTCCAAGCACCAATGATTACTATGTTCTAAGACAAAAAGGAGGAAGAGCTGGGTAAGAAACAAGACCAACCAGAGACAACACACCACTGCATTGTCTCTTAAATGTGTAAATATATCAGAGTTGATTAACAATTAGTCTGCAAATTTAAAAGGCAGATCCTCTCTTACGCATTACTTGAAAAAAGGACACAAAATATACACAAAATCTAAAGTGGAAAAGGCCAGAAAACACTAGATGAAAGAAACAAAGCAAGGTACAACGACAGAGGAAAACAGACAGTAGCTGGAAAGTGAAGGATCAGACAATCACCACATAATTCTCATCACGATTAATAGCATACTGGAAGAAACAACTGGACTCTAGAAGAAAACGAGAAGGAATACAAGAAAAAAAAGTATAACTCATTTCAGTTGTTGTACTTATTTCATAAACTTCTTGGTTTAAGAATAACCTTTTGCAAGTTATTTGTAGAGCACTTATTAAATTGGGCCTTTAGAAGTCCAAGATTACTAGTAAATAATAATTATCACTACTAATAGCAGATAGTCAGCAACTCATTGCCTACCCTACACTCCTCCTTAACATTTCAAATGGAGTCAAGTGCAATGTTCTGGACATACAATCTCGGGCTTCTCAGTAATTTGGGGATGATTTCCCAAAAGAATCAGTAGGAGCACCAAAAAAATTATCTTTTGCAAAACCATAACTTTTCAGACCATGCAGTCCAAACAAAACACACCGAGTCTGAACATTTTTGGCTAATCTCTGGCTAGAACTAGAGCCCTTCTTCATGTTAACTCTGGGACCATTTAGCTTCCAGCATTAACTTGACAGTTAGCTACTGTTTCCATAAAGAGCCTGACCTGGAAATCCACATTCACTCATGAAGCTAGAGAAATAAGTCATATGAGAACGCAAAAACGATATAGCTTGGGTGTGCATCTAGATTTCTTTTAAATTCCATCCCTGTGCTTCTAAAGCTACACACAGATGCTGAGGGAGGAAAAGCTGGAAAAACCTAGAATGAAACAATATTAATACTTTTGCGGAGTGAAATGCTGAAATAAGAGATAAAATCTCATTGACCTTACCAACACTGAACTGCAACTGTATTTTAACGGAGACGACCAAAATTTTTCTGCCCATATGTTATTCTATGCAAAAAGACTGTTTTGCAGAATGCCAGTGGTTCCAAGCCACCTATCCTGGAGCTGAAAAGTTCAGGCAAGATTTTCCTATTTAACATTCTGACTTAATTCTCCCAAATTTGAGATTTTTAAGAATTTATTTGTCCCAAGTAAAGTGAAGCATGTCTGACACTTGTCTTTACAAGTAATAATGTATTTTGTAAAAGTACAATTTTACATGAAGCCTCCTCTTCTTTTCAGAACTTCCAGCATAGTATTTCATAACATTTTCCCCAGGTAATTGTTCAATAACTACAGGATAGCCTTCGGTTTTTATTTTAACCAGTTGAATTAAACAGTTTGCACTGATTTGGGAGTGAGCTTTTCTACTCATTAGTTTACAATAAAGGTGAGATTTCTGAAACTGTTTAAGAGACTTGCATCAGTAACTCCTACACAATTTTTAATAAGAAACAGGCACGGAAATACTGCCAACAGTTTTGAAAAAAATAAAAATAAAAACTATAAATGGGAAGAAATTATAGTATGCAAAATGCAGGAACTCAGTACCTGTATGAGGGAGGCAGCAGCTGGAATTTGACGGTTGAAATGCTTCTGTCTTTGTTTCTGTTGTACCTTTAGGGCAAAGCCTGAACCAAGAATTCCCTGTGGGAAGAAAGAAAACACAAATCTAATTTTTTTTTAAAGGGGTGAAAAAAAACCACACATAAGCTTGCCAAATTATGTTGTATTAATAAACTTCTGTTCAGCATTATAAAACTCAACTAATTATTTAGAGGAAATGACTTAATGCTGTTAAGTTTTAGACTCAGTTAGTATTACTTGTTGAAACACACTATGAATGCTATCGTGCCCTGATTCAAAGCCTATATAAGTCAGCTGAACTCAAACGCTGAAGAGCGGGGAGAAATGATATTTCATACCCTCTAAAAGCCTCATAAATGCTGTGCAGGGAAACAACAGAATAGGGAGAAATATTAACCTGATGTGCTTAACTTCATTTTTATGAGAAATAAAGCTTTGGCATGGCATGATTCAGGTCACAAGAAAGCCCTTTTAACTGTAATGTGGTCATTTCTATGTTAATCCATGCTAGGAGGAGAGGACAAAGAGGAGGAAAAGGAATATTATGAAATAGTCAGGACATCTGTGAGTTCAACACAAGGCCATTTAATCCACTCTCAGGACAAGGGACATAGTGACTAATGGCACTGGATGGTGCACAACCTGAAAGAGCCTCCAAACATAGTAGAACTATTAAGTTTAAAATTAAGTGTAGAGCAAGTAGTTTATGTAGTCATTTAGCACAGCTATGGACATATTTAAAAGAGGTTTTAGTAACAGAGATAAAAATGATATCTTCTGTAAATCAGTTTACATGACTACACCTACTCAACAAAAGCATATTTCATTTTATACATATAGTCAAGGTGTCAGAGCAGCTCAAGGTGATCTTGGCTCAACCTCTAAGAACTGTATTAATCATCAAGTGTTTTGAAAGGAACCGGAAGGGCCCTTCCTATTACACTGACTTTGCAAAGATCAAAGAGTTAATGATTCTTGAACATCACTTATTTGGGAAATGAAGGATTGTTGCTAGATCCAGAACTCATACCAGTTGTGTTTAGCCACAATAATTACTTCTGACTGTGATTCCCAGCCAGCTCCTCTTACTTCAAACAGCAATGTGCAGGCAGCGTGCAATAGTTACTACCTATCAACTATTTACTGCTAGAGCTTCAAACCCTGAATTTCCTCCTTGAGCCAACTCACAAGAACAATTTAATTCAGTAATAAAATCATACTGATAAAGGAGTGTTTGCTGTTGTTTTACTTCTGCAAATGACTAGAGAAACCTGACAGGTAAACAGAAGAATACTGCCGTGAAAGTGGGGCTGCTACATGATTATTTATAAATCACCTTTACTGACATTTAAGTCTGAGGAAAAACACCCAACTCTCAAGCCAAAATAGTAACTTTTGTAATTTTTTTTACAGATCATTTCATTTGCCAGATCTCTCATCTAAACAAGGAATAAATGTGAAAGAGATTAGAATAAGGAAGAGGGAAAAATATGGAGAGTCTAAAAATCTACATTTAATTGCCCTCCTCTGCAAAAGGTTGCATACTTTTAAAGCAGGTGACTAATTTTAAAAGTTATTGGAGTTTTAATAATTACTATTTTATGTGAAGAATTTTTGTGATGGTACTGGCATAAAAGTATTCTTCTCATCCATTCTGTGCTTATCCCCACTGCTTCCCTGCCACAACTACACTAACATCTGCTAACATGACTGTTCATGTCACTGAACTGAAAAACTTGCTGAAAAATAAACATTTTAACAGCACATTTCAGGTTGCACAACATTTTAACAGTACAATTCAGAAGTAACATTAGATTTGAAAAAAAAACACACCCTTAACTACCCTCAGCACTGAACATTTTGGGTTTTCAAACCACAGTCTGTTTCGCTGATTTTGAATTTACCTTTGGTACTCAAGTGCCTTGTTCCTTGTTAGAAAGTACTTGGGAACTTGTTTTCAGTTCAAACGAAGTGCCATAACACCTTTAAAAGCTGATCCCTAGGTCACTTTCAAAAATGGGACTTTGGCCATGGACAGATGCTAATCTGGCAAAGAGCTGCATCAGTGTTCCTGGCTGCTTATTGTTGTCTCTCTGCCAGTGACACCTTTTCTGTAGCTTTGCCAGAGAAAGGATGTGTATGAGAACTCTACAGTTCACCCTGGACCCAATCAGTTGAGTAAACTATGAGTGAATGCCTTAAAAAGCCAAAAGATCACTTAAATACCTCTTTCTCAAACACATACCAAATCTAGCGTTGCATACAATAAACACTGCACATTTATTTTTTTATTTACTTATAGAAGCTCTTTTGCTTCTACAAGCTACATATAAAAGTTGAATACAAAGCTTTCGTAACAGCAGGTTAAACGTAAGGTTAGAGAATCAGTAACAAAAGTTTCCTCTCATGAGTAATGAGTTGACACCAAATCGTGAGCAAAAGTGAAGATAACCTACCGCAGGTAGCGCAAAAAATGAAATTGCAAATACTGAAAAACAAGATGCAATGGTCTTTCCTATCCAGGTCTGAGGCACTTTATCACCATAGCCAATAGTTGTAACAGTCACCTGTAAAGAGAAATACACAGAGCATTACAGCAAGTGTTAACGTGGTAGTCTGGGGTGGCTGTTCTTTCTTCCTTTTCTCATTATTTTAAAGAATATTAGTTGCATTCCTAACTTTCTCAGTGACAATCTGTGTGACACTAATGAAGGTAACTCTCCTCTCAAGGTTTGCTCCCCATCTATAATAGAGGAAAAAAAGGTACAGGAAATGGAATTACAATAAAATACATGTTTAAAATTTTGTAAAGTAAAGCCATTAATTTAAGTCTTCATGGTCAAGGTAACATGACAGCATATGAAGCTACCAGGACATGGGCTGCCTGTCCATGTCACACTTTCCTTAGAGGGAGGCTGCCAACAGTTCTGAATTGCTTCATGGGCACGAGGTGTTTGCTGAGAGCATTACAGGGCTGTTGAGTTTGTATATGTGTGTGTATATATATATACACACACCGTAACCATGGACTATGACTAGGCTCACAGACATGAAGTATTCTGGAGAATAATATCAGTATAAACAGCAAGAGAAGCTGAAAATTTTCCATGTAGTAAAGATCTTGAAAATATAGTCTAATAAATCACTAAATCATATAATACATCAAGAGCAAGAACAGATAATTCAATGCACACATGCAGGAAACATCTGTTGAGTTTGGGTTTCAAAACACTGAAGTAAAAATTTCCACCACAGTGATGTAGCATAACAAGGCTTAATAAGTAATTATTTGCATGAGCTCAAGGAAAGAATGGATTTGTTTGAAGGAGAAGAATACATTTGGCATGTGAGAGCAACTGAAATTCACCTGTGTCACAAGCTATTCCTGAATTTGGATATTTTACAGATTTTTATCTGTGACTTTGAAGAAGGTTAACCAAAATTGGAGCATGTGAAACCACATGAAGCTCTCAAGCAGTTGAAGCACAGCTCAATTACTGGCTGCTCAGATTCTCTTCTGACAGTACGGGCTTCAGCTGCCCAGGAGACAGAGAATGTTAGTCCCAGACAATAACATACAAGGCCATCTCCACCTTGTCCTGCAGTTGCTCCTAGTTCACCTGTCTGCTGTGATGCATACTACCCAGCGATGGCGGAAACGCAGGCAATGCCCAGGGCAGCACCTCTAGGGCAGGAGAGAAGGGAAGGGCAGATTTACAGCAGCAAGATGTTTGTCAAGGGGGTGAAGAGACAGAGAATGTGGGTTTGGGGAAATAAAAGGTCTTGACAAGTGCTTCAGGAAAAGTGTGACTGTCAGTCAATTTAATAATTGTCCATTCCTACTAAAAGATAAGACATCAGGGGGAAATCCTATGGATAAAAGTTCTGACCCGAGCTGTGCCTCAGAAACGTACGAAGCAAGCCATCCATGCTCAAACTGTCCACCTTCTAAGCAACATCATTACATGTCTGTCAAACACAAGACAAAGGGAGAGCTCTAGCTGCTTGATGTGTGTGACAGTGGGCTTCCCCCAACTCCGACTGGACCTTTTCCCACAACACTGCTCAAGCACTAACAACTAGTGGCCGTGATGGATGTGCCTGGTCCTGACGGCTGCCTCCACGCTCAAGGCAGATTCGGGAGAGAAGGATAACAACACAATAGCCAAGGGCTAATCTAGGGCAATGCGCTCACCTGGCCACAGTGCTTGTTGGTGTCCAACTCACACCAAATTTGGTAGAAACTGGCATATGCAGTCAGTATGCAAATATGACTGAGTCAATTATCTTGCTCCATAAATAGAGAAGCAGCCCAAGAGCCCCTGGAGCTCTCCTGCATGGCAGCGGGCTGCATGCCGGGATCTCCCCTTGAGTAGGGATGCCTCTCAAGGTTACTCCTTGAGGTTGAGAGATTCCTTGCCACAACAGATCCTAAGTGACTAATAGCTGGGCTAAGCTTTGAAGCTTTGTTAAGATTATATTTTAGATATATTGTGTACATGTAATCCTTTAGACATAAACCATTGACCAAGTCTGGGATTAGGACTGGATCCAGCCACACTAAGACTCCTCTCTAAGAAGGGGTTTAGAATGCAAGGGGATCCTTTCCAAATCTCGTGGCTCAACAGGAGGGTCTCCCTGACACTTTTGTCTGACTGTCCTCTATGCAGTAGATAATGCAGTGTACCTTGCCATCGAATCTTCTTAAACCACTGTCACATTTACCCTTAACCTTTGTTAACTCACTGTCTTATATCAATAAAACATATTGCTGCTTCTCTCTTACGAGTGAAGTGCATGACTCCATCCATGACAAGGTGATGTTACAAGTTTTTTGCAAGTTACTGATATTCAAAACATTCAAGTATTAGCATTTAATTTTAAATATAAGTGTTAAAAATATCTTTTATTTCCAAAACTGTTTCCTATCCTACAAAATTATTTTAAGAATTAGTGAGTTAAGTACGCAAGTACTTTTGCCTGTATTTCTGAAATTGTTATTGAAACAACACCTTAAATTCAGAGCCTGATGAGGAACTGAAGGGATGACTATCTCCTTATCTACCTAACAGGGTCAGTTTAAAAAAAAAAAAAAACACAAAAAAATCCACAATTCTAATTACAATTTTCTGTTTAAAAACTATGGTACAAAAAAGGAAATGTAATTATGGGAAAAGCGATGGCCTCTAATACCTTCTTACATAAAAGATTATGAAAGAAGATAGTGGTTTATGCCTCAGTTTTTTAAAAACTATTTACAAATCCTTGTCATTGAAAAGTTCTATCAACTATTCTGTGTTACAATCTTAACATCATGCTTAAATATATGCATTCACTAGAAACGTGAAAAGAAATATGTGCTTTTGAGCTGACTGAAGTATAACTGAAGAAAAATTCTTATACAACTAAGAGGTATTTGTCTTCCTTTTCCTACTGTCACTTTGCTCGTCCCTTCTGAATTGGTCTATACGAAGCACCACTGACATAAGAAAAGTATTTTCTGTGCCGTATTTAAGTTAACATTTTTCTCCGACCTCTTAACTCTAACCCATCTACAAATGCATTGTATTCCAAAATTACATTTTCTTTTTTCCCCCCAAGATATATGCTGTTGAAACCTTACATGCCAAGTTTCTGCCCTAAATGAATTTTTACAGCCAGATTATAACCCCCTAAAGAGTACAATACTAATTTTACAGTTGTAAAATAGGATCTTATAATGGAAATACTGACTCAAGTTCTACTCTAGCATAGTAAAAATGTTGGTATAATGAAATTAAATTGATCCAAGAGCTCGCACATTAAATTTTTATTGCAAAGCAGCATGGAAAACTAATTGCTTTAATTAAGAACAAAATCATATTCATCCATTGACTATTTCAGAACTTTGATCTGATGTACATCACCACAGGCTTTGGTATTAAGACTAATCTTGTTCCTATTAAATATGCATCAGTAGTCTGAAGGAGGAAATATGAAACAAAAATCCACACAGCAAGAAGAAATAGTAATGTTTGTCAGCAATGAGTAGGGAAGAGATTTTATTCAAGGTGATCATGCTAAAGTGAGCACAGCAAACTAATCAGGTGAGTAACAATGCTCTGTTGATTAAATCCTTGCAAAAACTTGGATAGTTAAACAGCTACAAAATACAAGAACACATGATTCAGAGGTACTAAAAAGGCAAACATCACAGGACTGAGGGAGCAAACACAAGCTAAAGGATTAAAAAAGCCAAGCATTAAAGCAAATAAGGGAAAGTCATCTTCTAGAAAATACCTTAACTACTTTGTTTCTAAATTTGTGGCACCGTGACTGCAAAATCAGTTGCACTAGGTATTGTTTTGCATATGAGATACAACTTAGAATTTTCTGACCCACTTGCAACACCCATCTTGATTAAATCAAGTAATACAAGAACAAGATCTAGTGCTATACCAGAAACATTGACCGGCTCCCTGACTTCTTTGCAATTGAAGTATAATAAATTACAAAATGGTTGGAATGTTCTCCTGTACACCTAAGTGTAATGAACACATTAGAAACCTTTCTACTGCTTGACATGTTATTCACTCAACTGCATTCATGCAAGTTGAATATGAAGTAGAATCTTTCCAAGCTGTTGAAATCCAACCACAAACAGATTAGACTTCCATGCTCTTATTTTACTGTGAAATGTGATCTGTATAAAGCTAAAAAAAACCCTAGCAATCTTTCACTATTTTGAATTCTTTTCCAAATGACAATATTTTACTTCCTTGCACATACAAGGATATTAATGATAAGAACTTATTCATGTAACAGAAATTTCACTTTCTGCTCCCAATCACCTCTATGTACATTGCAGCACTCTGAGAGGATTCAAGTTAAACCCTACAGATGAACAAGTTAAGAGACTACGTTTGACAGGACACAAATGTTCTGAAACATCGGAACTAAAACTGTAATCCAAAGCTGAAGAAAGGACTTCCTGGTCACTACTATTACAAACATTTAAAGGGGATGTTTGGATTCTTTTTCTTCTTAAAATTTCGAAGACATTTTCATATAGCTGTTATGGCAGGATCATGCCATCATTCTTGATGCAGTTGAAGTACATGACTGAGACACAACCACATCTGAAAGACACTGAAACACTTCTAGTAACTTAGGATATGAAATTAAATGGAACTACACATCCAATTGCAAACACGACAAACAATAAATTCAGTTCAGTGTCATGTCTCTCAAATAATAGAACCTCAGTGATGTCTAGCCATTGCTCTTGGATCTTAGTTTAATACCTCCTCAAGATGTCATTTTCAGCCATCAATCAGTTTCAACCAAATTACTGGCGACTCTAAACCTTGTAATCAAATGGTGGCCCAAATTAAATATCTCCATTTGTGATATCTCAGAGACAAAACTAGAAGAGTCCTAAAAGAAACAAGGGATGAAAATTAAGTTGGAGCATCGAGCTCACCTAAATTTGTGAAGTCTTCTGTGCAATAAAAAAGGGGCTACAGCAGCTTTAACTAAGTCAGCAAGAATACAAGGGTTTAAGGGATTCCTAGTGTCTGGCTAGTTC